AATATCCAAAGTGTGGTAAACAAACTGAGAGCACTGATTCGATTCATATGACCCTTAATGCATAGGCTAGCGGGAATGTTTATGCCCCGCGGCTTTGCGGTTAGATTCCAGATCATAACACAGAAAGAGAGGGAAAGACGCACACATTCACACACACGTTTATTTATAACCCGAATGTTGTCATTTATATGGACTAGTTTTGCACCTCCCGTGTTCCATACCCATCCATACCCGATGGGCAATTCCGAAAGTCATCAATTAACAACTGCATGATCCCTGTCGTGTGACAATTACTGACGCTTCATTCTGTGTGTGTTCCAATCGATTGTCTTCAGTTTCACAGACGTTCCCGCCGAGCCGCCGCTGCGGCTGCTGCTGCTGCCGCCGCAGCTCCGATGGTTCCGGTTCCTGCAACCCCTGGGGTTTCTTCTGTCCAACCACTTCGTACAAACACGATGGAGCCACGGGACGTGGAACTCCTGTTCACCGCGACGCAATTTACCGATGAGGTCGAATACTTGGCCGTGCCGGATAGTATTTGCACTCCTCGGGCACTGGCTGTAATCCAGGTGAGTTGGAGATCTCGTAGAGCCCGCGAGAGAACAGAATGTTTCAAATTGTCTACAAAAATTTCTTTTCATCGGTTTTTGCGGCTTGCGTCTGCACTATTGCGTGTCAATTCGGATAACGTTCAATATCCGGTGTTGATATATATATATATATATATATATATTTATATTGGGATTTTTCATTTAGCCAAATCGGCTGGTGTTGCAGTTCGCAGGATTACAATACACGAACTCAGTGTCCGTCCGGTCATGTTCAAAAAAAGGATCGGAGGCTACGCGGGTTGGATGCGTACAGTTCCGTTTTTGCTGCGTGCCCCTAACTGAGCTTCTTAGGTCTTCTGTGAAGGGATTGTTGGTACGTCGTGGAAAGTGCGGCTTTTCATCCCAGTTATACTGGTCACCCCTTTCGACCGACCAATTCCTTTTCAGCAGTTCCGACCAACCTCCTCGCGTTCCGCATAGATTGAGATACGCTTCGATTTGTGTGTAGTCTGTTTTAGTCCGTCATCTTACAATACGTGTTCGTTCGAAGAGGACACTTGAGAACAATTATGAATCGTTAAAGTAGACAGTTGAGATTTTGCTCGATTGAAATTTACAGATCTCCAAAGCAAAACGAATCTAAAAAATCAGATCATTTTTTACCTGCAGGTTGAATATGAATGCGATCGATACATTGCACTTTCGAAATATATTACCATCACTGAGCAGGCGCCTTCAAGTGACCACTGTCACTCAGCCGTCCAAACGTTTTCCATACATTTTTAATTGGCCTTGAATCACTATCCCCGGATGTCAAACCGTTGTCATGGCAACTGAAACACGCACACAAACACACGCAAAAGACCCACTGAAGCGTGGCTGCTGTAACAGGCCCCGATTGTTGACTACGGAACGTAATGTACCAAATGGGTGGTTGTGGTTGACTAGTTCAAGTTCTCTGTTGCAGGCGTCTCATTTCTGCGGTTCTGCATATATATATATATATATATATACAGGTGATCGAGGAGTTCACTCTCTTCCACTCGGGGTCTCTGAGTCTAATCTGTCTCAACCGGGTTCATTACGTTCTACGGTGTGATGCATACGTAAACTACATCCACCTCATCCATCCCGTATGGCACCGGTATGGATTGATGGCCTATCAATGTGTTATGACTCAGCTACAGTATTATTGAAACATGTATAATTTTATAACTTGAAAAACACACACACATACCCTTGGATGCGCAATATGGCTAACGAGGTACGCCATATTTGCGGTGATCGGGTTGGAGGGATGGGGTGGAGAGCAACATTTGTCCGAAATGTTTTCCTAACATGTCCTGTCAGGACTGCTGTTCCTGTTTGTC